TCCAAGACCTTCTGTGCAATAACGGGTCCCCAAAAGGCCATACCCTCAGGATGAGGATGAATTGGAAATGGAATTGCTGGGGTTAAATTACCTGTCTCAAGTCATACATATATATATATATGGCCCGGCCCATGAAATCATGCACGGGTAGGGTCCCTAGCCCTAGCCTGCATTCAGGCCATCTTCCTCCCACTGGCCAGTCCCTAGTCCCACCCCGACGCTGCCACTTACCTCAGTTCCCCATTCACAATCCAGTGATCAATAGTAGCCTGCAGGCCAGGGGGAGGGACCAAGAGGTCAGCCATTCCACCTACTGGCCAGTCCCCCATCCCGCCTCACCACGGCCACCCACCCCAGTTCCCCGTTCACCCGTTCACCATCTGGCAATCGATCATAGTCTGTGGGTTGGGGTGGGGGGGCAAGAGGTTGCCCATTCCACACACTCGCCAGTCCCCAGTCCCCAAACCCACCCCACTGCCACTACCCACCCTAGTTCCCCGTTCACCATCTGGCGATTGATTGATCATAGCCTGCAGGGGGGCGGGGGGAGGGAACCAAGAGGTCGGCCATTCAGCCCAATCACCAGTCACCAGTCCCACCGGGCCCCACTGCCACCACCCACCCCGGTTCCCCATTCACCATTCATCCATCAAAGCCTGCGGGCCAGGGGGAGAGACGGAGAGGTGATCAATGCACTTCATAGCGACTGGTCAAGCAGCCGTTCTGGTCATTATGTCATTATGGTAGCTGAGTTTTTATTATATAGGATTTTTTATAGATTTCAGAGAGGAAGGGAGAGGGAGAAGATAGAAACATCAATGATGAAAGAGAATCTATTGGAGATGGAATCCGCAAGCCAGGAATATGCCTCTGACCGGAATTGAACCCAGGACCCTTCAGTCTGTAGGCCCACGCTATATCCACTGAGCCAAACTGGCTCAAATCTTGATCTTGTGTTCAGGTGGTCTCAAACTGATGCCTCCGGATGCCTGGCAAAAACAAATACAAATAATCTCTGGAGGAACACATTATAATTGTAGGCCACAAATTATTCCTACACATAAGTTTTCATAGAAACATTAAGTATAGAATTAAAGATAAACAAGTACACAAGGAAACTAGATTCATCTTTCACAGCAAGAAGTCAGCCTATACCAGGGGTGGGCAACCCCTGGCAGGCGTGCCATGTTAACTTTTGCCAGTGCACGAAACCCTCTCTTATAAACTCTCATTTACAATTTTTTTCTTAATATTGACTTTTTTATTTTTCAGATAAATTCAGTGTAGGCGCATCTTAGATAACTAAAAAATTTTACATAACAAGTTATCTTAAAGACCATAGACATGAATGACTTAAATGTTGAATTACAAGGAACTGGCAAGACACTTGATGTTATGTTTGGTTACAGAAAGGCTTAACTCTAGGTGCATCTTAGGTAAATAAATAATTTTACATAACAAGTTATCTTAAAGACCATAGACGTGGATTGACAAGAGAGGAGAAGAGCAATTTCCATGCCTCTGCCTTAACTCTCCCTGCCTTCCTAGATCCGACCAGTGTTTCGGTTTCATCCACATATGCTTGCGAATCTTTGTTCTCCGTGATGAATTTTGTTAAGTCTCATCATAGGAGTAGCCTCACGGATCAAAGTAGTAGCTCGTGCATATCGCTGAAGGTCACGAAATATAAACCTGAGGTAAAGTCTCTGTCATCAGTGATGCAGCAGCAGAAGTCCCACTGATAATATCAAACGGAGTCATAAAGTTTTCTGTTGGACTATCAGTGTACATGTATACATTAAAAATAAATGTATTTTTAATCATCATATACTGTGATTTTGTTGCTCGGATGAATTTTATTATTTCTTCAAGGTCCTTCACACATGTACATCTTAAGAGATATCAAGTAGGCATAACACATTCTCAAAAAATTAGGGTTGGCATGCAGAAAAATTTTGAGTCAGAGATTTTGCTGGTTTTGGCACACACTCACAAAAAGGTTGCCCGCCACTGGTCTATACCAACAAATATGAAAATATGTCCTTGGTAAAAAACATAATGACTTCAACCTTTAATGTTCTGTCAGTTTCTTCTTCTTTTTCTTCTTCTTTTTTAATCTTGAAGGGATATTTTAGGGGAAGTATCTTTTGCCTAGAGGAAATTTCAATTCCATCAACTTCTCTTTCTTTTCTTTTGTGAAATTCTAGTAAAGTTAAATTTAAAATTGTATCCTAAATATGATTGTTATGA